GGTGCCCTTGGACAGACAGGCTTGTGACCTTGCACTCAAGTGCTGAAGTTTCCATTTGGTTCATTAGCACCACCTGGTGGCTGGTGAAGTTGCTCATACTCTCTTCCTAAACAGGGGACGTGTGTATGCGGAGGCTACAGTGAGATATAGATTACTTATGGGTCCACCCTAGTTTGCAAATTGTGGGCTTGTGGTGGGCGCTGGATGATGAATGGCCTTGAGTTATTCATATCTTGAAAGGGAGACGGTACAGGAAGGTCAGGACAAGCATTTTGCTACATTCTTTAAAGCTTTATGTTTTGGGGACATTTGTTGAATTTTTTTTCTTGGTATTAGGGATTGAACCCAGAGCCTCACTCATGCTAAGCACATGCTCCTACTGAGCCACATATTTTATTTTTTATTTTGAAGAGTGTCTTGGTAAGTTTCCCAGGGTGTCCTGGAACTTGCGATCTTCCTGCTTTGGCCTCTCCAGTAGCTGGGGTTTTAGGCTCGCTTCCTGCCCCTGGCTAAATACTTATTGAGAGAGGATATAGGGAAAGTTAAGCTTGGTTTCTGTCCTTGAGAAATATTCAAGCTTTTGAAAGTAACAGAAATGAGAATGCTTAATGATAAAATTAGTAATTGGTGGGCTGATTATCAGAGTAATTTGGGTATCTTTGTGAATGCAGATTTTCAGACCCCTTTATGAGAGATTCTGTTCAGAGGGTCTGGAGAAGGACCCTGGAGCCTGTGTTTTTAGCATGCTCTCCTAGTAATTCTGGATCCATTAGTGTCAATTCAAGCTGGAATAATTAAGATGGACTTCCTGGAAGAGGCAGTAGCCTAGACTCAGTTTTCCCCTGTTGTTTGGAGCCTGTGCGCTGGGCCAGGCAGTAACTGGGGCCTGCCCCGTCCCCCCTTGGGGAATCACGAGTCCTGGGCCACCAGCCGCTCATGGTCTGTTGTGGACAGTGCTCCAGCGAGAAGAGAGAAGCACGTGTGCACTGAGTGGGGTGCTGGAGGTGCAGTGGGCATTTCCAGGAGGTGTTCTGGCTCCCATGTTGGCATGCAGAGAAGGGGCTTGAGGAGGACTCAGAACAGAAACAGTGTGAATGTCCAGGGGCCTTAACTGTAGTCTACTGGTCATTTGGCTCGCAGCTGTGGCGGCAGGGAGGTCCCAGAGCATGGCTCCACGGGCGGGCCTTGTGCTGCATCCTCATCTGGCGGAGGGCGTCCTGTGGTGGGACAGCTAGTGTGCTGGCTACCTCGGGGCTCTTCCTCTTACTTATTTCATCTTTTTTGGTGCTTGGGGACTGAACCCAGGGCCTTGTGCATGCGAGTCAAGCACTATAACAGCTGAGCCAGAGCCCCAGCCCTCTTTTCTCTTGTAAAGTCACTAATGCCATCCATCATGGGGCCCACCCTTATGACTTCATCTAATACTAACTACCTTCCAAAGGTTCCACCTCTAGATACCATTGACATGAATTTGGGGGACACTTTCAAGCCATAGCACCAGGGAACTGTAGTAGTTGGTATGGCTTGAACGTGGGGTAAACTTGGGGAAGTGGCCTAAGAAGGGCTTGAAAGGTTAACAGGGAGCAGACTGACTTCTGGCCTAGTGGCCATGGGGAGTCCAGACAGGCTGGGAGCCGATGAGTGTCTGTGGAGGCTGGGAGGAGCCAGGCTGAAGAGCGGGGAATGCTAGAGCGGGAAAACGGGGCTAGGCACAGAGGCAGGGCCGTGGTGCTGGCTGGGTGGTCAGGGTAGAGTGCACTTGTGGGTGGCATTTCTGCCATGGCCGCAGAACTGGGGTCTGCAGTAGGAGCAGGCACGTTTCTTGGTGGGGGAGCTGACATGATGATTGTCATGTGGCCTAGTAATAAAGGCTTACACTTGTCATATTTATAACACCTTAAGTTTATAGGTCTTGAGCTTATTACATGGAGAGCATGTGGGGCTCAAATGTTGGCTCTACCACTTCCTGGCTGTGTGAACTTGGGCAAGTTACTGACCTCTCTGTGCCTCGGTTTTATTGTCAGTAAAGTGAAAATCAAAATAGTGCTCACCTCCCATAGATAGTATGTGAAAGGAGCGGGCAGCAGCAGCTGGTGCGTAGTGAGCCCTCACCCCGGCGGAGGTCGTTTCCTTCATCTTGCAGTGGGGATGCTGAGATCTGGAGGGAAGTTAAGTGACTTGTCTGGACCATTTACATGTGCACGTTGGAGTCCATCTGCTGAGTCCGTTCTCTTCCCTCAGTGGCCACTCCCCACTGCACCTGCCTACCTAGAAGGTGACCTTGCTAGGTGAGGGCTGGGATGCTGGTCCCGCCCTTGCTGCCCGCTGGGCCCTTCCCCCTGTGCCTGCCATCTCTCCTGACACCTGTCCTGTGCCTGCAGGATGTGTGCCCCCGTGATGGTGGAGCTGGAGGGGGAGACAGACCCCTTGCTCATCGCCATGAAGGAGCTCAAGTAAGTCGCCCAGGCAGGCCCCTCTCGGCTTCCCTGGCGGGGCAGCTGGTGCTTGTTCCCAGGATCCGGGGTCCATTCAAGAGTCAGCCTACCAGGAGGGAGGAGGGAGAGGAACGAGGGGACCAGCTGAGAGGAGGGCGTCACTGAGACATGGACCTCGACACTGTTCCTTCTGCTGCAGCGCTGGAGTCACCATCTCTCATGTACTGTGACTTCTCCCCTGCCACAGGGCCCGAAAGATCCCCATCATCATTCGCCGCTACCTGCCCGATGGGAGCTATGAAGACTGGGGGGTGGACGAGCTCATCATCACCGACTGAGCTGGAGCCTCCTGACCTGGCCACACCCAGTTTCTGTCCCCATTTTATACCTGTAAATAATAAACTATTCCACCTTCCGCCCCGCTCCTCTAGCTGTGTGATGCCACCTCGTGCTTCTTCCCCATTCCCACCCTGCTACCCGGAGCGCACAGTCAGCACTTACCAGTGGCCCTGGGGCTGTCAGCCCTTGGCCCCTGTGGCTCCCCCACATCCCTCCCTCCATCTCCCCGTTCACCAGAGCAAAGGCGGCTGCAGGGGAGATACCTCAGCTGCCTTCCCAGAGACAGACGAGTCTTTGTGCCCAGGGAGCTGGTTGCCAGGGAAACCCCCAATTTCCTTTCCAGTGGGGACTGGCTGCAGGGGCTTCTCCCTTCTCAGGAGTATCACAGAGCAGGTCTCATCAAGCCACCCATTGTTTCCTAAGGACCTGCCTGGAGCTCTTATCGAGGTTGGATCCCCTTTCAGGAGAGCGCCCCAGCAGGAAGCTTGGGGTTGCGTGGCTCTCCACCCGCCCCGCGCAGCCCCGCTGGGCAAGTCAGCAGCTGGAGCAAGGGCCGAGCACCTGCTCATCCTCCCCACTCTGTCCTACTTCTCAGGCCACTGCCTCACACTGCCCTTCATGGTGCATCTCTGACCTGCCACACCTGTGCCCTGCCCTTCCCGCTGCTGTAAGATACCCTTTCCCTCTCGGGGGCTCCTGGTCCTCGGGCCTTCCCAGGGATGGCTTCAGCTGGAGCTGGGGCATCCCTTCCTTGGCCTAGTACCAGTGGGGCTGCTGCTCTTCTCCACAGTGCTCACCCTGGCCCGGAGGCCCTGTTACACGGCTCCCCGCTTCTGAGAGTAAGGAGAAAGGGTACAGCACACCCACATAGACAGGAGTAGGCAGGAGGGGAGATCGGTCCCTTCTACTGCCAGCTGCCTTCCAGGAAGAGGAGGAGCCCGGCTCTCCCACCTCTGTAAAGAGGCAGGGCTCCCACTGTTGCGCCCAGGTTGGAAGGATGAGTGACCGCAAGTGTGGGCGGGGTGTTTTCTGCTCTGGAGAAGGGTTAACTCAGGGAGGGTGGACTTCGCACCCCTGCCACCCTCCTCCAAGCCCATGGAATCCTTTAATCAAGTTGGGTGCTGAAATTTCAGCTCTGAAATGCCGCCTTTGTGCCGGCATCCAGGCGGCCGCCCCAGAGTGCGGGGGTCACTTTCTTGGCCCCATTTCTCTAAATGGTCTCTTTGTTCCCTGCTGGGCTGCTCAGTATCAGATGTGATTAAAGGGAGATGAGGTTTGGGCCGGAGAGGAGGAGAGTTAACCCTTCAGGGAAAGGGCTAAAGGAAGTGGGAGGAAAGGGTGTTTTCTCTTTCCTCCCCCTCCCCCTTCCCATTCTCTTCTTTGAGGAGACCCTTGTTATTCCGCTGGCCGGGCCAAGGTTTGACTTCTGGAGTATGAAGTCACCTGCCGCCACTATTGGCTCTATACTTTCTTGCCTGAAACACCTGGATCCTGCTCTCCTTACAGAGAGCTCCTGCCATTCCAAGGCCCAAACATGCCCAGAGCCTTTGGTCTATGGGCTGTGTACAGTCAGGTCTTCTGGCTTTTGTGGGTCATTACCCTCCCACAACTGGTCATTTCCCAGCCAGCCTCCCAAGCCTCTCCATGTGCTCCTCCAGCTCCATATCCACAACCCCCCACTAAGAGCAGGAGCCGTGAAGACTGGAAATGGACAAGTGTCCTATCTTTGAATAAAGGGGAAGGGTTGAGTTTTAAAATGAGCACCTAAGGTTAGTCCTGAAGGGTACCTGACAGAATTCTAGAATGGATGGTTACACACCTGAGCCCTCAGATCACGCTGCAGGAATCCGGGGGCTGGCATAGGGTTCTTTTCCTTTTTTTTTTTTTTTTTTCCCAGAACCAGGATGGACCCGGGGCCTTGCGTACGTAGGCAAGTGTTCTACCACTGAACTACAGGATAGTATCTAAGGTCAATCCTGTCACATCAGTTTCTTTTTTCCAGTGGTTTCTGGTCTCACGGGTCTAGGGAATGCTACCCATCAGTGAATCTTGATTTTAGCGCATCGCTGGGCAGTCTCCAGGCCCTGTGGTGGATGAAGGCCGGGCACCATGGGAGCAGAGATGTGAGGAGGTATTTCAGAGCTGACTAGACAGTCCTTCCCTGAGAGTGTGGAGAGCAGAAGGAATGGGCAGCGGTACTTAGTGCTGTACGCAGGGCCCTGTCTCTTCATTTTGACCTTTATTAGTGACTTAAAGGAGGATATTCAAGTTTGCAGATACATAATGCTCTGAAGGAGAGCCGCATTCCAAGACTTAACATAGGGGGGAAAGGGTCAGATCCAACAGGATGAAGTCTGTTAAAGATCAGCATAAAATCCTGCATTTATCTACGACAAAATGAAATGCCAAAAACAACTTTATATCCAATTTGGGTGGTGTGACTTTGCAACAGATACTGTTGGAGAGAGCAGGGGTTTCAGTTACCAAACTTCATGAGGCCAACATTTTGGGGAAGGTGGCCTGAAGAGCCTGGTGCAGCTTCCAGATGGGGTCTGCCCACCTGGGAAGACTGGGTTAGTTCCTGGAGCCCACCTTCCCCCAGGTCCTGACCAAGAGAAGGGTGCAGGGGTGCAGAGACCACAAATGGAAGGGAGGGTCAGTCTGGAGCAGTGGAAGAAGACTTAAAGTGCCACTTAAAGTGGAAGCAGAGCCTGCTAGCCCTGGGCAGGTGGAGGGGATGATGGGGAAGAGCACAAGCTTTGGAGTCAGCGCTGGGTTCAGATTCTGGCGCCAGCTCTCCTGAGCTTCAACCTCCCAAAGCTTCAGTCTCATCTAGAAATCAGGGATGAGGACAGGACTCACTGTCATCTAGGTCCAAATGACGTAAGCACTCAGCACAGGGAGCACGCAGTAGGTGGTAGAGAACTTACAAGCCTCAGAGCTGCCATCAGTAGAGCAGGAAGGTGAAGAGAGTCCCCCTCCCTGGGGTCTCGGACCAGAGTGGTTCCTGGCCTGCAGAGGACAGGGCTCCGAGGGAGTGAGCATGGGAGGAGACTGCACATCTGATGCCCTTGGTTTAGACTTGGGCACAGGTTGCTGCTCTGAAGGCTCAGCTGGACCTGGCATGGTCCCTGGGGCTTGCATGATCTCTGCCAGAGGTGACAGGTATAGGGGTGTGGCAACAGAAGGCCATCCAGGCATCCTAAGGGACAGGCCTGACTGCAGTCAGACTCAACCCACCTCTTTCCAAACAGCTGTCCCTGGAATTTTTTGCAAACTCTTCCCTGCTGAGTGGGCAGTGAGGCTGCTGCTGCCCTCGTGAGCTCTAGCTGGGCCTGGTCAGTGAGTGGCCCCTGCAGGGTGGGGTCGAGCTGACCTGGGGAAAGGCTTCTCTCGGAAGTCTTAGCCCCTGTGCCCAGTCCCATCCATTGGGGGCCAGCTGTCCTCACCCACTCCACCTACTCAGGGGAGAGCCAGACTCTTGGGTTATCTCCCCCTCACACCCTCCTCCTAGCTACTTTCAGAGTCTTTGAGGAAGCCCAGGTAAAGGGACAAGAGACCAAGAAACAGGCCAGGTCAGACCCACTAAGCAGGTAACCGGAACCTTTAATTTTATTACTTGGAATGCTTAATGCAGAGTTAATAGGGGCTGGAGTAGCTAGGAGAGGGGAGCAGACAGGGGACTATGAGATAAATAAGGGGGTAGCAAACGTGTTACATGTGGACTGGGGGCTGCGGAACAAACGGGGCAGGCATAGCTACGTACTTTATTCAGATACCACTGGAGGCCAGGGGCAAAAGGCAAGGGCAAAATGTATAGGGCAGGATTTTGGGGTCTTAGACCTGCTGCCGGCCTCCTGGTGCTGGCCCCACGGCTCCTTCTGGAGCCAGGGTTTGAGCCTGTGCAGCTCTAACCCCAGACACCAGGGAAGCCATGGACAGCTGAGAGGACCAGGGGCTGGCCAGGAGCCAGGGAGGAGGACTGGGGGACTGTCTGAACCCTTCCCCGCCCTGCCTCCTCACCTGGGGTGGGCGTCAAGGCCTGGGAGCTCATGGCAGGGAGACCAGGGGCTGTCCCCAGTTAGACAAAGACCAGGTTATTGGCACAGAATTGGATCTGGGGGGCCTCTGTGCCGGTTCCTTCCTGTTTTCAGGAGGGAAGGGGTGTTGAAGGGATAAGAATTTCCACTGAGCTCCACCCCACCCCACAAAGCGGTTCAAAGCTGTCCTTGGCCCCTGAGTGACACAGCCAGGGTCTCTAAGCCCTGATGCAGTCCCTGGTGGCCTAGCTTAGGCACCATGGCACAGGGGCCTGTAGGCCCTCGCTGTCCATGAGAAGGAAACCGGAGTGGCCCAGCCTCCCGCGCTGTCCCACCCTGCATGCTTCCTCCCTTCCCAGGGGGTGGTGGCCCTCCTCAGGTCCTGGGATAGAGGGTTTCTGGGGGAGGTGCAGCCTCATCCTTCAGTCTAGGGGCATCGGCCAGCCTCCTCCTCCTCTGCCCAGGCTGTCAGCCAGGGCCATGCCTCTGGGGCCTGGATGGGGCGGCAGGTCATCAGGGCGGGAGCAGGCAGACAGCCTTCCCTCCACTGTCAGCCCCTGAGCACCCTCCGCCGCCACCACCAGGCCCGAGACTGGTGAGGAACAGGACGCACAGCGGAAGGAAGGGGCTCGGGGCCCAGCAGGGACTGGGCAGGGGCTGGTGGTGACAGGGCCCTCTTCAAGGCCGGGACAGCGTCGTATATACTGGCTGCTCCCAGTGTGTGGGGCTGTGGGACTGGGGCCCTGAGGGGCTGGGGTCAGAGATGGCCGTGTAGAGGGGCCGCTGAGAGGGCCCCATGTAGGAGAAGGCCGAATAGAGGCCCGAGGCCTGGCCCGAATGGCCATAATAGGGTCCTGAGGGCTGATGGTCAGAGTAGTCAAACTGGGGGCGGGAAATGGAGGGGAAGGCGGAGCCGTAGTGTGGCAGGCTGAGGGAGGTGTAGGCGATCTGCGAGGTGGACGGCTGGTCGGCGTAGTGGGGGGGCCCCTGAGGGCCTGCGGTCTCTGTCTTCACCTGGGCTTTGGCATCCACACCAGGTGGTGAGACCGTGGGCAGGGCCACACCCGGTGGCTTGGAGATCCAGGCGGAGTGTCCACTGGCCACGGCCAGGGCGCTGCCCAACCCGTAGCCAGCTGCTGAGTAGCTACCCACGTGGCCTGGGTGCCCATTGGGTGGCAGATATTGGTCCAACTCAGCCACGTCAAAGGTCTCCATGTTGGACATTACCTCGTGGCTGATCTCGCCGATGTCCACATTGCCGAAGTCGATGTGAGGTTTCCCGCCCTCCCCCATCGAGCGCCCATCCCGCTTGGGGTCTGCCTTGCCGGACTGCAGCTCTGTCTTTGGGGTGGTTGGCGGGGTTGGTGGGCCGTGGCTCTGGCCTGGGATGAAGGGAGACACAGAAGGGCAAGGAGAAAATATGTCAGAGGCAGGTGGTGCAGTGGCTGGACGGCCCACTCTCAGGCAGCTGAACCTCCTGGAAGCTCAGGCCTGCCCTCCACGACCCAGTGGGCTTACATGTTTCATCAGCAAGTTGGCCTCCGTTTACCTCCTGGTCTTAACTGTTGATTACATCCTCAAGTCTTCTGCTGGGTCCTGCCTCCACCCTCCTACCCACCTGGTAGGAAGCCCTCTCTGTCGGCAAGTTCTTCCCACGTGGCTGAAGATGGCTCCCTTCCTGCTCCTGTTGCTCCTTGGTGGTGACCGGTGCTTCCCTTTGCTCTGTACCATCTCGCTATCAGACTCACCTGTGCCTCTCGCCACCCAGGACCCCAAATGGCACTGTGTCCCCTCCAACTCCACTTCTCGCCCAGAACCTGCCTGCTGACCATGCCCAGCTCCATCACACACAGGTCTGTACTGCCCCCCTGGCTCCGGAGCTGCCTTCCCTCCTGTGCAGAAGGGGACCAAGATCACTGGTCCCTGTTCCTGGTTCACTTCCTCGTCCACCAGGCTCTTGCCAGGTGTGGGGGTACCAACAGAACTGAGACAGGGCCCGCTCTCCAAGTGCTTATAATTTGGGGGAGATCAGAGACCTGCGTGTGCCTAGAGCAGGAAGTGCTTTGATGAGGGGGTGTCCCAAGGACTTGGGAGACCAGAGGAGGAAGCCGCTCACCCCCCTGGCAACTGGGGGAGGTCTCACTGAGGAAGTGTCTGGATGGGGCCTTGAAGGGTGAGAAAAAGTCCACAGCAAGCTTCATTCTGGGAGGTGGTTCTGTATGTTCTTGTGCGTGTGTGTGCGCGCGCACATGCGCGCGCACGTGTGTCCCTGAATCTCGGAAGGTGAGGAGTAGGGTACTCGTGAGAGATGGTGGCGCTGGGCTTCCATCACAGAGATGTGTTTGTGGTCTTATGAGAGCAGGGCCTCCCCCATCAGACCACAGGCAGTGCCGAGTGCTGCCAAGGGTTCTGGCCTTCAAGACGCCTGCCTGGGTTTGGGTCCTGGCTGTCCTCCTGTGGGATGGGGGAAGACCCACTGTTTCTCTTAAGCAGCCTCCTTATCCTTACACAGTGGTAAGAGCAAGCGGCTCCTGCCTCCTCTGCCTCTGCCTCCTCTGCTGCAGTCCAGTGGGTAGTTGGATATTTTTGGAGACCTGGCTACGTGGATGGATGCTGCCACCCTGGGTCTCAGGGGGCTTCTTGAGTACCTGTTTCATCCTGAGCATAATTCACTTGCTTTCACCCCTGCTCCTCCCTCTAAACTGTGGGCTCCTTAAGCCAGGGACTGTGGCCTTCTCTTGGTGGTACCTCTGGAGTCCCTTTCAGTGCCTGACACAAAGTAGGACTCAGCAGGCAGAGCTTTGCTTACTGAGTACTTCCTGTGGGCCAGACTCAAGTGTGGCACTTTCTGGACATCCTGAAGGAAGTGAGGTAGCCGTGGTGCCAAGCAGAGCCCAGGGCGCTCCACTGCTGGGTGCAGATCTCAGCTGTGCGGCAAGTGCCTCCTCTGTTTCCTCATGTGTCTGTTGACAGTAACCTGCCGCACAGCTGAGCCCGAGCCCCGGCAGGTAGTGCTCATCTTGCTGTTCAGGGCCAACCTGATCATTGAATTGAGTTAGGCAATTAGCATGGTGCCTGGCACACAGTAGGTGCTCAATTAATGTCCCTCTTATGATCACTGAGAAGAACTGAACAAGGTATCATATGTGTGGCCTGTGCTCAAATCACGTGCACGTCCCTCCGTCAGAGCAGGAGGGCCAGAGGCTGCGACTCCTCCATCTCGCATCTCCCCACATGACCCTGTGCGCCCTTCTCCTTTGGTCACTGCTGCAGCCCTTCTCGCCCGCGGCTTTCAGGTTCTCCCTGACTGGCTCTGTGCCCAGCAGTGAGGTTCTCCTATCAGCCCCGGCCAGCGCCATCTTGCTCCCCCTGCCCCAGACGCCCCTGAGCTCCCTCTGGCCCCTACATCCAGAGCCCAGGGCTGCTGGGGAGTTTCAGGGTCTCATGCCCCCGACTCTGCCCTGCCCGCCTCCCTGAGCCAGCCCCAGCCCTGCCATCAGCACCTGGTTCCCAGCCCTGCGCTCACCTGAGGGGTGCTCAGGGTTCCCGTCAGACATGGGAGAGCCCTCTTCCGGGTGCCGGTGGTCCAGGTGGGCGCTCTTGTAGTGGGCCTGGATGGCCGTGGCCCCTCCTTGCTCGGCCTCCCCGCCCGGGCACTCGGCCTCCCCTTGGGCCGCCTTGCCGTTCTTCCGCCGCCGGGGCTGGTACTTGTAGTCGGGGTGGTCCTTCTTGTGCTGCATGCGCAGCCGCTCAGCCTCCTCAATGAAGGGGCGCTTGTCACTCTCGTTCAGCAGCCTGGGTGGGGCAGTGAGGGGGACAGCAGAGCCACACTGAATGTCAGCGCCCGGCTGCCTTCCCTCGGAGGCCCGAAGCCCAGGGCCCTGAGGGGAGGCCCAGGGGCAGGACCCTTGTGGGGACTAGAAGATGAGAGGCCCAGGAACTAAGAGAGCTGTCATCTCTGTCCCCAGAGCTCTGAGGAGCTGGAGGAGAGGGGCCAGCCCCGAGGGCCGGTTAGAGGTAGGCCCAGAGCCAGCGCAGATGTCAGCTCAAGGAGGGGAAAACATTGTCGTCACCAAAGCCGTCCGCAGGTGGAACGGGCTCCCTGGGACTGGAGGTGCTGAACACAGAGCCCCGTCCCTGCTGCTCACTAGTTGGGTGTGACCTCGGGCAGCTGAGCCTGAGTTTCCGCACCTATGAAACTAGGATGCAGTGACTGCTTTGCTGGGGTGTGTGGTCACCAGAGTAACAGATGTGAAGGGCCTTGTCCCAGGGCTGGGCAGGGAGGCACTTGAGAAACAGGCGCTGTTCTAACGCTGCCTGGGGGAGCCAGGGATGGGCCCCTCAATTCTGGAATACTGATTTGGTGGATTCCAGGATGGTGGGACTGAGGGGGACTGGGTGAGTCCTCTTCATTATGGGGCATGGTCTCCTTGGGGAGATCCAGGGGTGACAAAGTGTAGAGGAAGCTCAGGTTTCTCCGGACCCTACTACAGCTCCCAGGATCTGCCAATGGAGGGAAGGAGCCCTGGAGGCGGTGCCCAGCCTCAGGCCAGGAGTGGAAGGGCTTAGCTGCCCCAGGGTGAGAAGGGCACAATGGGGTACCTGCAGAGGGGGTTGAGGTGAAGGTACGGGATTTATAGAACCCAGACATAGGGGACTGACCATCTAGCAGTCTTTGTGGGAGGCAGCCTGTGTCTGAGGGCCCTTCTCTCCAGCCGCCCCGCCCCCTTGCCCAGTAGGTGCCCCCCCTTAGCGCCCACCCCCCTGCCTCAGCCCCAGGCAGCAGAAGGCTGAGCCGCTCCTGAGGCTGGGAGGGGGTGGTCATACCAGGCACCTCCTAGCTGGCCGCAGCATTCCTCGGCAGCTTAGCCCGTTGTTGGCCCCCGCCCCTGCCCCAACTGTCTCCAAGGGACCCTCTAGCCAAGCAGGACTATCAGGGTCAGAGACACCTTCAGGATGGGAGGAGGAGAGCCCGGGAACCAGAGGGTGGATGCAGGCACCTGCCCGGGAAGAACGATTCTGCCGGCGAGCAGCTTGGCCAGCAGGGGCCATAGCAGTGGCCCCGGGGGGCTGGCAACACTGAGCTCACTCTGACACCCCAAACTTTACCTGGGCTCCTGCCCAGCTGGCAAGCAGCAATCAGCAGAAAAATGGCAAGGGGCGTAGCGGGGGCCGCACAAGCCAGAAAGGAGAAAGATTCCAACCCTGGAGCCTGCTGTCGCCAGTTCTCAGCAGCACCATATGTAACCCTGACAGAAACTAACCCGGGGCCACAGCCAGCCCTGACCCCAGCCCTGAGCCCAGCCCACCTCCACCAGTTGCTACTTCCAACCCCAGCCAGGCTCTGCCCAGGCTGCGGCCCAAGCCCACCTGCCAGGTAGAGCCAGCCTCCCAGCTAATCACCACGCCAGCACCAGCCCTCACTGGCATTGCCACCCGTGTCGCCCTCAGCCCAATGCTCATTTGCACCTTCACCAGCCCTTTTCCTCCTGGTTACCAAGATCTGGAATGAAGCCGAGGGAGAAGGAAGGCTGGTTTCCCAATCAAACTAGAAACCCCAAGTCGGGGCACTGGCTGCTGCTGCATCTGTTTCCCCGTCAGCCAGGGGACGGGGCCTGTGGAACCGGGGACAGGACAGGCTCCAGCCTGCGACTGCTTCCCCAGGTTCTTGGTGCTGGTTGTTCTTTCCAGACAGGTCAAGCAGTGCACAGCCACCCAGGGATCTGGCTGGTCCTCCCCCAGTGGTCCCCAACGGTAGCGAGCCTGGTGGGGCTCACACAGCCACTAGGACCTGTCCTCCTGTGCATCTGACCCAAAACCCAAGGACAGTACCCCCAGTCTCTGTTCAGTTTTAGGACCCCAACTGTCCCCTTTTCTGATGTCCTGGGAGTGGCGAGCTTGGGAGGGAGTGTTCAGAAGCCCCTAGAATGACTGGCCAACCCAGCCCACATCCCAGCGTCTCTCAGGACCCCTTCCTGGGACCTAGGTAGCCACCACCTGTTAGCACAGACTCAGGTCCTTGCCATTGTCATGACATCTCCCACCCCTGGGACTGAGCTCTTAGCCAGCGGGCCTGCTGTCCTGACTGCCCTGCCCCAGGTTGGCCCCTGTCGGCGCAGCCTGAGTGGTGGACAGGAGGAAGTCCTGCTGAAGGGGGCCCAGCTCCTGGGTTCTGGGTGGGGGAACTATGACAAAGAAAATGGAGGGCCCTCTTAACCCTTGGCAACGGGGTGGGGAAGCAGCAGTCCATTCTGGCTTTGCTTCTCAGTGGTCTCCTCACATGCCCAGGTCCCCGGGGCCTGCTCTGTCTGCCTGTCCACCTCCCTCCTGGCCGTCGTCTCACTTCCTCTTCTTTGTCCCATAGCCCCAAAGGCGCTAGCTTAGTCTGAGCCCCACTGGGGTCTAGAGGAACCTTGGGTGGGGGAGCTGGCTGTGACCTCTGCTCTTGGCAGAGCTGGACTCTCTAGGTCCACATAGTAGCCAGCCGCCCGGCCAGGGCCTGCCCAGGGTAGGCCTGGGCTGAAGGCTGAGAGGCTGGAGGAGGGACCAGGCCATCAGCAAGCACATGGCAAGGACAGGCCAGGGTGATGGAGGCAGATCTCCTGGACTCTAGGGGAGCTTCCTGCATAGGCAACCATTCTATGCCTTTGGCCTCATAGACCCAATCTCCACTGACCAATCTAGTGTTCTGAGCCAGCAAAGGGGAGGGAGCAGACTCCTCTGACAGACCCCAGACTTCCTCAAATCCAGATATGCCTCGCTCCTGCTGTCCTTTCCCTGCCCCCACCCCCTGACCACTCTTTAGAGCGAAGGGTGACCCACTACTGTCATCAGGGACTAAAAGGGAAGATCCCTGATGAAGAGTTGGGAGACCTGAAGTCTGGCCCTGACTTTGCCACCAACTGCTCTGTGACCTTTGCAGTCCCTTTCCGGGCCTGTCTCTTGGGCATCAGGTGGGGATCAGGTAACTTCTGCAAATTGGCATCCCCTGGAGCCTCTGTTCTCTTTGGGATCTGCCCTGAGACTCCTGGGTGGGATGGAGGCTGCCCTGCTCCACACACGCCCAAGGGGCTAGGCTGGGCCCCAGAGCCAAGGGTTGGAGACTTCCCGCTGGGGGAATGTTTCCCTAGAAGTCAGAGCTGGTCCCTGAGGGACCCTCAGCAGGGAGGGGGCCAAGGTTTCCTCCTGGCTAGGGCACTCAGCTCTAGCTCCCAAAGCTGCGGTGAAGAGTTGCTCAACCTTGGGTGGGGCCCTGAGAGGAAAGATGGCGCCGACTCAGAGGGGCAGGAAAGGAGCCAGAGACTAGCTCTGGTTCTGGGACGGGGTGGGAGGGGGAGCCCCCTTTCTGTGTACCCCTCCCCCTGGGGAATAAAGAGGCCGCTAGCCCAAAGGAGAGGGGGTCCTGAAGGCCCAGGAAGACAGCTGGGGCAGGAGGAGGCTCTGGGTGGCAGGGAGCATAGTTCGTAGCCCTCACTTTTCAAGACTTTCCTCTGAATTCCTTCTTTCCCTTGATCCTCCCCCATTCTGACCCGGCTGCCTCAGTTTCCCGGCTCATCAGCCATGCCTTCAGTTCTTTCCCAAGCATTTCCGTGATATCCGCCGGACTAGTGGTACTGGTGACAGTGGCACCCTCGAGTGTGGGGACGTAGGAAGAGCCAGTGGAGCCTCCACTGGCCCTCCTTCCCTGCTCAGGAGGCAGCCCCAGAGGCCCTGCGCTCCGCCATAGACAGAATTCCAGCCGCGAGGGGGCGCCTTCCCACCCGCCACCCCAGGGGGCGAGACCCGGCCTGGCCCCTGGAGTTCGGAGTTCCAGGGTGCGCAGTGGCCGAACCCTGGACGTGTACCTGTGGCAGACGGGCTGGCATGGTCCCCACACCAGGTCTTCCAAAGAGTTGGGTTCCCTCTGGAGGGCCCAGGCGGTGCCCACCGAGTGGGGCAGGAGGCTGGGGCGCCCCCGTCTAGCCGAGTCCTCCCGCAGCTGGGGGCCGGCAGAGCTCCCGGGGGGGTTCGGGGGTGCTCACCTCCAGAGCTTGCCCAGCGTCTTGCTGAGCTCGGCGTTGTGCAGGTGCGGGTACTGGTCGGCGAGTTTCCTGCGCGCCGCCTGCGCCCACACCATGAAGGCGTTCATGGGCCGCTTGACGTGCGGCTTGCTCTTGCTGGCACCGTTGACGCGCACCGGCATGGGCACCAGCGTCCAGTCGTAGCCGCTGAGCACCTGGCTGACGGCCTCGCGGATGCAGACGGGAAACTTGTCGTCGTCCGCCTCGCCATCCTGCTGCTCCTTCTTGACCTTTCCCAGCTCGCCCGGCCCGGGGCTGGCTCTCAGGCCGGAGCCGCCGCCGCCGCCGTCGGGCCCCAGCGAAGGCGCGCTCCCCGGGGACAGGCAGCGGGGCTCCTCCGAGCCCACGGGGCTCAGCTCCACCTCTGACAGGTCCTGCTCCTCGGCCATGTCGGCCCCGGTCGCCGCCGCCTCGGCCGCCTCCCCCGGGCCCGCCGCCGGGGTCCTCGCGAAGAGCCCAACGCCCACCTGGACGGGAACAAGGGCGCGATGGAGAGGCGGCGGGGGCAGCCCCGAGGGCGGCCCAGGGCGGGACACGGTGCAGCCCAGAGGTGGCGCAGCCCCCGAGGTGGCGGCCCTCCTGCTCGCGCTATGCCCGTTTGGGCCTCTGGGCCCCAGCACATGCCAGACCCCAGGTGGGTGCGTCCCACCTCCGCGTTTTCCCACCACCTGGTCCCAACCGTCTCTGGCTGTGGGTGAGGTTTTTCTTTTTAACCTCCTTTCGGGTGGAGGTTTGTTGATGGAAAGGAAGAAAAACGGACCCTTTATTCTACTCTAATCCCGGCCCCTGGAATTTCCCACCTTTTCTCTCACCTCTCCGCCTTCCCCTCCGCCCACCCCGGCGGATCTAGAGGAGTTGGGGGGAGCTGCTGCGAGTGTCAGCCTCTCCCCCCACGGGGGGCCTGGCGGCCTGGGAGGAGCAGGCTTGCACTCACCTCCTCCGACCTCTCCTCCAGTCTGGGGCTCGTCCTTAGGAAGTGGAAAACCGTGTCCCAAGGTGTGCGGTCCAGCTCGGGGCTGGGGGGTGACGCTGGTGGACTGGGAGGGAGGGGCTGGGGGGCCCTGAGCCTCAGGCCACCTCCTGGTTAGGACGGAGCCTGAATCCTCACCACCAACCACCCTGGCCGGACAGCCTGAGACTGACTGAGCGACTGAGCTGCTGCGGAGGGCTGGGGAAGGAAGGAGGGGGAGGGGGAGAGGAGGGAGGGAAGGGCAGAAGGTGGAGCCTCCAGCTCGGGGCCTTCATCCCCAGCACCCAGGGCTCCACCCCGCCCAGACCCCCCCAGCCCGGCTCCTGCCCTGCTGCCCAGGCCCGACTCCTTAGGCTTAGCCTGGGTTTGGGCAGGCAGGCGTGCGAGGGAGGTGTTAGGCCAGGGAAGGGACAAGTGCTGGTGGCAGGGTCAGAACCTGTTGCTTGGAGGAAAATCAGACCCAACCAGGACCCCGGACCTCTGCCTCAGGTGGTGGGATGCGAACTTGGCAAAGGACTGGGGAGAGAAGTGGAAGAGGCCGGGCAGGCCCCACAGACCTGTGAGGGGGCAGGCCTGGTTGCTTCACTTGATAAATCATATTGGGTGCCCACTTCGTGCCAGGCACTGTGGCCAGCCAGTTTTGCTCTGTCCCCCTCCCCTGCTCTTGCTGCCTCAACTTAGGGAACATTTAGGTCCCAGCCTGGCAAGGCACTGGGCAGCCGGACACCTCTGTCCAGCACAGAACCCACCCAGCCCCCGGCCCTTCTCTTCCATCACCCCCCCCCCCACAGGCTAATGGGGCTGCCTGGCCCAAGGTAAAGACCCGGGAGGCTGAGGTGGGGTGCAGTGAGTCCTCTTCAAGTAGGTCTCAGAGACCTTCTAGGTGCCACTTCCTGAGACCCAACCCCTACACACTGGGCTCAGCCTGTCTTGGGAGAGGGTGGGGAAGTCCTAGTCCTGGATGTCACAAAGTCCCCCAATCTGAGGAGGGGTGGCACTGCCCTGTTCTGCTTCCCTCCTCTCTGCCCCCTCCCCTTGCTTGTTCTTCCTTCCCACCACTCCCATGACTCGATTCCTTTTCTTCTCCTCTCTCCTAGGTGTCCCCTCCATAGGTCACAGGCAGCCCCACTCTGGTGGCTAGGCAGAGGTGGGGGTGTGAGTAGGGACAGATGGAAGAGCCTGGCTGCGCTGGTGACCATGTGTGGTTCCCAGTTCCTTTACAGGTGGGCGAGGCCCCAGGCCCACCCCAAGAGGGCCCTGTTTGGAGTGGGCTGGAACAGGGGTCTGGGGAGGCAAGGCCTCATGCTTCAGAAGGCCCAGGGGGCGGAGGGGGGTGGGTAACAGGACACAATGAGGTAGTCACACGAGGCAAAGGCATGTTGGGGGGGTGGCGGACATTGGAACACACACACACACATGCTCGCGCACACACAACCAGCCAGACAATCGGGCCAGTGTGTCTGGGGCCGCGGAGCCCAGTGAATTAGGAGTTTGATAAGGGTTTTCTCTTTCTCTCGCTTGCTGGCCTTGGACAATCTCCCCCCAGTTTTCCTCGACGCCACCCCCGGCGCTGCCAACCCTCCTCCCCCCGCCTCCCTTCTCTTCCCTGTGCCCAGACTCTTGTTCGGGGCCTTGAAACAGTGAGCTGTCTTTGTTCGAAATACAGGTGAACGGCAATCATGTGATTAACACACACACACATAAAAAGCTTTTTAACAGCGCCCGCCCGGCCTCAGAACTGCCCGGAGAGGAGCCGCCCTGGATGGACAGAGGGACGGAGGGACGAGCATCCAGCCAGTCGTGTCCCAGCTGCCCTGCAGCGGTCTCCAACGCCCGCTGCTGCCCGCCCGCCTGCCCGCCTGCCCGCCTGCCTGGCATCTCACTCCCGGTGGGTCCCTGCTCATCCTCCCACCCCTTGGTCCCTCCTCTTGTAGGGAAGGACCTCCCTGCTCCCTGCTGTGTCTGTGACTGGGCCTGAGACCCTGGGGCAGGGAGGGGTGCTGTGGAGGGAGAGGGCCGAGGGCTAGTGAGCGGGACATGGGGTCTCACAGCCGCTCCCCTCTCTAACTCCCTGCCCCCTTCACTCTCCTTGGCCCTGCTGCCAGGAAGGGGTGGGGAGAGCAGTGGGCACATTGGTCCCCAGAGAAGTCCTGCCAGGCCAGGGCCAGCTCCCTCTTTCTCTCTTTCCTCCTCTGTTCTCCGAGCATGGAGTCTGGGCTCCCGGTGGAGAGGTACCGGGGAGGCAGGTGGGCCTGCAGAGGAGCCCAGAGGCTCCCAGACAACCAGGGCAGTGCCTGCGGGGTCCCCACTGGAGCACACCCCTGCCCACCAGGCTGGGGACTGGGTCCCTTCTTCCCACCCCAGGCCCTGGGAACCCAGTTTTCTCTGGCAGAGGAAGGCAGAGCTCCCTCCCACCATTCATCCCTGCAGAACAGGGAGTTTGAAGAGTGGGGAGGGGTCCTGGGCAAAGACTTTGGGCCTTGTCCCTGGAAAGATGGCCAGGAAAGCCAATGCCACCTTCTGCTCCTTTCCCTGCTGGGGGTGTGGGGAGTCTCTTTACCCCTCATTCCTGACCCTCCCCCAGGAATGGCTGTGACCTCACCCCCCACCAAATCTGCCCTGAAAGGAGGGCTTGTCCTCATCAAGGCGAGGCCCTGGTGGGCTCGAAGGCCACCTGACTCCTGGTGTGCAGGGAGCAGAGAGGGGCTGAGGCCTCCTTCCTCCCACCCACCGGAGGCCTCTCGGGGCCACAGGTTCCCCGGAACCCAGTCTGGGTTCTGTTCAGCCTGCTCCCAGATTTCCCCAGAAGATGGCCCTGAGAGGAGGCAAGAAATGAGGTGCTGTCAGTCAGGGCGGAGCCGCCCAGGTCAGCAGTGGCCCTTAACCCTGCACTCCCAGCCCTCTCTCTCACCGGTGCTGCCTTGTGGAAGGCCCTGGGCCCCAAGTCCTCATCTGTCACGTGGGTGAGGATCCCTTCTTCCCATCCAGCCCCCGCCCTGCCTTGCACACATGGAGGTGAAGGTCAGGAAATCTGCTCTATAGCCAAACCAGGGGCCAAGACGTGGTGAGGGCGGAGAGCCTCTGCCCGGCCTCCGTTTCCCTGCGTGATCTGCCCTGGGCCCCTCGCAGGACAAGGGAGATCAGAGGAGGGGCGCAGGGAAGCCTTCACCACCTCTAGGCACGTGTGGATGTGACCTGGGGTCCCGCTGCCCTCTTGCTTGGCGCCTCAGGCCTGCGGCCCTGCCTACCTCCCTGGGCACAGGGCTGGCTCAGTGCTTCCCACCAGGCCCAGGCTCCGCCCGGAGGGATTCCATCCCTGCCGCCCTGCCCTTTAGAATCATTCCCTTTCTTCCTCCTCCCTTCTCCTTCCCCCTTTCCTTCTTTCCTTTCTTCTTCTTTTCTTTCTTTTTTTTAGACAGGCTCTCACTAAGTCACCCAGGCCAGCCTCAAACTCTCAATCCTCCTGCTTCAGCTTCCCAAGTCGCTGGGATTTCAGATGAACCACCATGGCCCACGCTTGTGGCGTTAGACCCCCTAAAGTCTGGATCCCTCCTTAGACTGGTTAATTCTGAATTTCTGGGGACAAGGGCAGATGTGGGTTTTTGAGACTCCCCAGTAGGACTTGCTGTCCCTCAGAGGTGGGTCTCTGAACCTGGAGGCTGGGAGGGGCCCCCTGCCGGAGCCAGAATCCCAGGGAGAGGGGAGGGCTGAGGCTATAGGCCCAGGACTGAAGGCCAGACCTACAGGGCACCCTGAAGCATCCAGGGGGTTGGGGGCATGGCCGGGAAGGGCTGTGCATTGTGGAGGTGGGGGACTGAGGGGCAGGTTAGGGGTCAAGGGTGGAGTGTGACAGAGACAGAAGCCACCCTGGAGAGCCTCAGCCTGGCCCGCGGGAGATCCTGGAGGCGAGGCCCTCCCCTGAACACTTCCTAGGCCACCTCCCTCTCTGGGCAGGGCTGTATCTGCCTGGGTCTGGGAGGTAATGGAAAGGAGATTCCACCACTAGTATCCAAGTGGCCCTGGGCAAATTGTGGTATGAACCTCAGGACTTGGCTTAGTACGTGTAAAGTGTATTCACTGTCTCCCCAAGTGGGCGAGAGAAATAAGGACACGCACACACACACACACACACACACCCAGCACCTAGCTTACGAACTGCTCGATAGATGTTAATTAGAGAAAGTAACTAGTGTTAGGCCTGTCAGGGGGCGTGGAGGGTGCCACTTGGTCCAGTGCTCAGATCCTGTGAGCAGCCCCCGTGCACCTCCGTCAGCAGCTCAGACCAGATGTGCTACGCTCCTCCCTCACAGGTGGGCCTCCCTGCCTGCACCTGTGCAGTAGCAGAGGTGTCACTTCCAGGGCTTCCTGTGGGCCAGAGGGTTCCTGCCATTTCTCTCCATCTTCTACCATCCCATGAGCAGGTGACCCCATTATTTTCGTTTGGGAAGGAAGCTGAGGCGTGAGGAGGTTCCATGTGGCCCTGCGCTCACCTGGATAATGATGGAAGGACACAGACTGGGGCCTGGCATCAGCCCCTGGCCACTCTGTCTGCTGCCTCTTGACCTGTCCCCTCCTCCTCCTCTCCTGCTGGCCCTGGCACGTGCTCTCTTTCCTTGGGGTCAGGAGTCTTGAGCCTCTTGTGCCTGCCGGAGGCCTGAATTGCTGGCCTAGATCACGCTGCTCTTTGGAGTGGTTCCTGGGCACCTCGGTTGGAATTCTTCCCTGCAGCCTTGCCCAGCATGGTGCCTAGGCCAGATTCTACTTCCTGTTGGAGCCCCCGAGGACAGGGCCATTCTCTCTCCTCAGGTCTTGGCCTCTCCAGGGCCGAGCATGACCTTGGGGTCATCTTCCCTGAGTGGTCGTCCAACGAGGAAAGGGCAAGGGAGGTCAGAGTAGGTAGAAGTGGCTTCCTGGAGGCCGAGAGGGCCTGAAGGAGGTGTTCTGGGGCCTGGCCCAGAGGGCTCTCCGCCCCTCCTGTTGCTGGTCTCCACTGGAGGCCACTCCAGGGGCCTGGATCTTCCTTCTCTCTCAGCCCCACCCTCTCCGGGAAGAAGGAAGCTGGGGCCAGTGCCCGAGGCTGCCTGGGGCAGCCTGGCCTCTCTCTTCTTAGAAGCCTTCAGAGGAGGCTACTGGTTCCTGTCATCCAAACCCAGCTGCAGGAAGCCCTTCCTGTGCTCTGAGC